GTTGTATATCCCTTAAATCAACACAGCTTGTGTTACTCGCCTTGTTTGCTGCCTTATTGACTGGCACTGGAGACGCGAGTCTGAAGGATCCGAGTTGGCTTGGCGGGATCTCGTTGTATGATATAAGCCGATTAGGCGGACTAGCACAGTTTCAGCCTCAGCGTGCCGTCTTGAAAACCAGACTGGCGGTCAGCTTAGCAGGCTTACGGACTGAAGCCGGACCAAATCTGCCATCGCCATTCAGAAATATCCCCTTCTGTAAAGGTACTTAATATATTACTTTAATATTTAAATTTAAAGATTATACAAAATCACACAACTCATTTGTTGCAGACAATTTGATACCCTAAAGCAGGGGTCGGCAAGTAATTTTAGGTGGGGTCCGGATACTTTTGAAAATTTTTAACTAGGTCCAGAAAAAAATTCATATTTCTTATTTTTTTATTTTAATTTGGACTCAAATTTAATCTGCTTACTAATTAAGAATTCAAAACACTCGCACAATTGTAAAATACTAGAAAAATTGATAAGATTGGCACTTAAACGTAAAAAACATTTTTTAAATAATTTATTTGAGTAATTTATACTTTCAAAGAATTTTTGGCGGTCCAGTATTTTACCTTCCGCGGTCCGGACCTGGACCGCGGTCCGCCAGTTGCCGACCCTTGCCCTAAAGCTACATGTTTCTGACATAAGGCGTAAATATTAAAATTAATCAAGAATTATTACGCGAAACTTAGGCCGACCCTGCATCGTCCCGCTTAATCAATTGATTAACTATATACGATACAGTAACCGAGTGAAGTTGACTGTAGTGGCGTGGGCGTGGCCCTGTCTTGATGTACATTGTTTTATCTCGTAATACCTCATTCAACGTATAACAATCGTGGACAAGATATACGACGGTGTGTCTTAAATAGGGAAAAAGACATCTTAAAGCACTTTTAGAGAAAAATTCGAATTGCAGCACGTTCAATATTTGATTTCGTAACATCGTACACTGTCAGACATTGCCGAATTCGTCCCTGTTCCCGGTTTATCGTCAGGAATTAAGCGACAACACAAGTTTGTTATCACAGGGCTTCCCCTGCCAGCAACTAGCGATTCTATTACGTCTATCAAAGTTGGCTGGCATGTACATAACGACGTTAGATCCATATTGATCTTGTTATAATATCGTATGTAGTGTTTCACACGGTTAGTTGATTGTTACTACCAGATAATTATTATGTGGGCGCAGGTTAGGAACGCGGTGATTGTGTGGGCAGTGCATAGATTTAACGGCTTCGAATACAATGTTGGAGTATATTCAGCTTGTTTGAAGAGCCCAGGAGCTAAAATAATTGTAGAACGACTGTCTGAAACCGCCTACTACAAGAATTTTTATACTCAAGAACCAGTATATTTTTTATTTAATTTAATGGATATTATTTAATAATAATTTAATAATAATAATAACTTTACCGCATTTATTTATTTCCACCCTGTATAAGAAATAGTAGTTTTTGCACAAAATGATACTTTTCTGATTCTACAGGACGTTGTACATACGCATACATTTTTCTCGGTTCTAATCTTTTAGCAAAGCGGTAAATTCTAATAAAAAGAAAATTGCGGGTCATCCCCCCGTACGTGTTAAATAAATCTGGCAACGCTGTGGTGTCTCGCAGCGGTTTCCATTCAACCTCTTCCTGCGGCTAAGATTCGGCGTGGACGGAGCATGTTGCAGCCGGCTTGGGGACGTCGCCAACTGTGATGGATGAGAAGGGTTTAAGCGTCTCGCCTGCTTTTGTCTTATCTCTGTATAAACTCCCTCACGCGAGTTACGGATGTCGGGATTTGTCGCAAGAAAAATAATTGAACGCAACTCGGCAGTTGTTTGCCTTGGCGCAACAAAAAAAAAACGTAAGCAGCGTGTTTTAGGTAACTATAAAATTGAGAGAAGGATACAGTATCATTTTTTATGTTGTCTAGTATTTAACTACTCGTAACTAAATCATTTAAACGAATAAATTATTAAAAGTAGAGGGGTGGTTTTCTAAAAATAAAATATTCTAAATCTGGCGCGGACCTCACATCACAATCTTCTGCGGTGCCAACGTCGAGTGTGATCGAACGTCAGCCCAGGTATCATAAAGTTCAATAATCAGCGTAATCGTAGCCAGTATAAATTTTCGAAAATCTCTCGGTTCACAATACCTTTAGAGTTATTAATATATGAATATAAAATTAATTATCATTTCATAACAATTTCTATATCCTACGGACCGATATAAATTCTCTGATACTTTTTCAACTTATCCTCTAAGCTGAAGCTTTTCCAAAACACTATCGGCATATAAATCAAAGGGTCAAATACAATAATCCTCTTTTTCAATCAGTCTAAGATCTTGGCTTATCTATATTATTGCACGAACTTCTCGCTTCTTGCTAATCTCTAACTGAGCTAGAAACCTTCCAGAAGTTATACAAGGTATCACTAAATAACTGGCTAGTATTTTGAATTAGAAAACTCCACATAACAGTCAATTCACCTTAAAAATATTTTAATTACACCTGTGCAAATTTAGTACCTACCTGTTTACAAATACATTACTAATTGTATGTTAATTTCAAATCGAGGATAATTTTTTTGTGTCCTGAACTTTGAACGAAGGAATCCAACGAAGGTCCTGTAAGGATAATGATAAATTTACGACAAAGTTCGGAAGTTCAGACAACTTCTGAGAACAGGTCAATCTTGCAATTATACAGACAATAAAAGGAGAAATGTTATTTTTTTGTACTTAATAAATACATAAATTTAATATGTTACCATAAATATTTCAACTAAAGTTGAATGAGAAGATTATCTATTAATTTACAAAAACAATTTTATCGATTGGAAAAATTTTAAATCCAGTTCATTCAGTTCGAATTAAAAATGTGTATGATCTTGTTATACTCGTATCGTACACAAAATTTCCATCAAATTTTCATGAGAGAAATGAAAAAGCGTTGCCTGTAAATATTTGCACTGAAAATATTAAAATCCTTGGATAAACATTATCGGGTGGAGTTCCGAGGAAAAATTTCATTTGGTATTTTTCCAAGGTTTTCCACCTTTGATAAGGATTTTCGTCCCAAGTTAATTAGACAGAGGTAAAAATTTATCAAAAAATGAGTTTTCAGAGGTATTATACAGAGTCCTTCCTAAGTAAACCATGAAACATTGAAAACCGTCTACTTGAGTGCCAAAAAACACTAAAATATATAATATATCCTTTTATCTTAAAACATATCAGTTGAAGTTTTGACCAAACAGTGATGGCGACTAAAAAAATTGTTGCTTTCTCTTACAATTAAAAAGTAAGTATTTATTACCAAGGAAAAACACATCCAAGTGTTTATAATGGGTTCATCTTTACTAGACATCTTCAATAGGCCACTGCCCCTTTTTGTTTCATACTATTATGCAAATACTTAAATACATATTCTTACAATGTAAAGAATGCAGTTATAACACAGACAAAATAGCTATCGCCCCAGACCGCTACTGGAATAGGCCAGCAGTTTTAAATTCCGAATTGAATTGAATAGAGTACACCACCAGCAGAATTTTAGGAAGAATCAAATGCATTCCCGCATTCCTACGCGTATCCTAGCAACATATAAACAACACTTTGGCAATGTTGCCAAGCGTACTTATTTATTTTGCACACATTGATAAAAAATCAATATCAGTTTTTTGGGTTACTGTATTTACTTAAATATATGATGTCTTGATAAAAATGTTTTAAAGAATCAACGAATATAGCCAGTTAGGTTATTTAATCATAATTTCGTTAATTAGCTACTATTTTCATTTTTTGGTATTGAAATACTGCAGAAAATATATTTCCAAATAACCAAAATTCGTAATGATATTTTAAATACCTTGTAATATATATATTTTAATATTTAATAATGATACATTTATTTAATATACAAGGTGAATTATTAGTATGTCGCAGAATATAGGTACAGGGTATATTTTGTATTTTGACATCCACTTATAGGTTTAATAATTAAAGATAGAAAAAACTTTCAATGTACGATTTTTCCTTTATTTTTTTTTTGACATCAAAATTTGCTGCAATATAATATATATATTTAAAGTAAAAAAATCATTAAAAAAATTAAAACCCATCCTTATTGAAATAACAAACAACGATTTTTATAGCTAACCTTTACAACAACATAAGGAGAATACCTAAAAACTATATAACATTAAAATACCCACAATTTTTACAAAATTTCAAAAAAATATGGACGAAGTCATTTCTTTGTTGAATTATTTTATCATATATATAATACGACTCGCCCCATCTACCGAGATGAGCTTGAATTAGAAACTGAAATCGATTCAGGCTGTTTCGGGCTCAAGGATTCTAGTTAAAGAAGGAAAGCTCTTAACAAGGAAACTGGAAAATTTCGGGGCTGTTTCAGGTCAGAACAGGATTCTCTTTCAATAAGTTAGGAAGCAAAAATCCCAATCAGTTTAATCGCTAGTTCACAGATGGCATACCTACGACTTTTATTGATAAATTTTGGTAAACATAAAAATATACTAAGTCTGGGAAATACAAAGTTGACAGTACTACGCAGAAATATATTTTGGGGGTCACATTATGTATAACATACGATAGAAAGTGGAAAATTTATGGATTTACTCTACTTTTTTATTATTTGTAAAGTAAATACAAAACAAACAATTGTTTTGTTTTGTATCATGGTCTTATATCAACTATGGTACGTTATTTTGACTATCTCGAGCAAGAACGCGTATAATTTGATAAGTATTCTTTGTGATTTAGAATAAAAAAATAAATATTGTTTCTTTAACTTTATTATAAATATTTAAACAATACTAAACTCTAAGTTCCTATCACTGTGTCTATAGCTCAAGATAAAAGAATTGATAAGGCAACTACGACAAGAAAACGTTTACTAAATAATTAATATTAGAATTTTATGCAATATTTAGTGGTTAGACTGCATTTTCCAGAGACAGTCGCGGGATGTAAGAACTGTTTATGTGAATCTGTTATAATTTCGGTGAAATTTGTACATATTTTTTATAAAAATGGAAAAGACGCAAGAAATCAAAGGTAAGGATTAAAGAGTTATGTGTGGAGGGAATTGTATGCTATAGTTCTCTAGTCCTAATTTAACAGCTATTTGCCAAATGTTTAAAAAAATTCGTTAAGAACGGAGTTAATATTCCATGAGAAAAATGTAATACTTTTCGGCTTCCATTCTCGTGAAATGGTGCAAATAATCGTTGAATTCGATGGACTCGAGCACTCTCCAAACGATATTAATGAAAAAGTCAGACCAGAGTGGAACTTTCACAGGCCATAGTGGATTTTCCCGGTTCCTCTTCACACCTTGCCTTGCTCGAGATTCCCTTGAACAGTCCATTTATTTAATTAGGTATTGCTATTTAACAATAACCGGAAAGGGTCATGATGCCACATACAAAGTGTATGCTGCAGCCAGAGACCACCAAAATAAAAAATAATAATAAGTTTAATCTGTTAAACCGAATTTACTCTAAATAACCTGTAGGTACCTCATCATTTTGTCCCTTCTAGGTCCGCAACTAATCGCAATAATGTCTATTAAGAGCTACAATTAAATTCATGGGTTTTTGCGCGAATTCATCGTTTCTTACAGGAACTGTCTGCAGTCGAAGACTGTGATTTGAATTCCAATCAGCAGAATTACTAAATAATCTACATTCGATGGTGTTGGCAGTTCGGCAGACAAAGGCTTGACGAGATTAACAATATTAATTTTAATGCTAAAGTCTAAAATACCGGAGCAAACACTTCCACAAATTTTGATGTTATATGCTTAAGGAGGTATATCGGGGTCCGAGGGAAGTGAGGAATGCAAGGGGGTCCTATGCTTTTCTTATGAGACTAAAACCCGCTGACAATTTGAAAAAATTAAATTCTATTGAAATTATTTGCTATAAACATATATACAGCAAAGAAATCTACTTATATGCACATAGCATACATATTGACTAATTAACAACATAAAAATATCGTATTTAAGTAGTTTCAAATTATATTTAATGAACGCATAAAAACTATGTAGATGTGGCAACAGCGCTAATAATTGACTAGCGTTGTACACACTGCGAACCTACAGACCTCGGATATCGGAGATATTGCGCGTCAAATTCGGGTAAAGATGCGTACGCGTTCAAAAATATATTGTGTGTAAACTATATACAATATAATTATTATATATAGCAAATATGTCGTATTATCCTAGCGAAGATTTGTATCCTTTATTTAAAATCCGTAAATCATGTTCTAAAGAAATGAAATAACACTCGCGCCCGTCTCTCGTCCAAGTCAAAGAAAATGTTGGATGCAATTTTGAAGGTTCTGTGATAGAAATTACATTATTACTCACTGTTCGTGTTTTTAATCTCTATTGAGTAATGTTACAAAAGTTTTGCCACTATAACTAATTTTTTAGATTTAAAATTTCATGAGAAAAATTTAAAAATACAGGATACACCATTTTGGAAAACATATGTAAAGTTCTATCTGGTACATTTCAGGATTTACCAGCAAATATATTAATCTATACTATCCGCTGTCAACAGTAGACGTTGAACGGTCATTTTCCCTACACAAGTTAATAGTAAGTGATAAATGCCGCTGTTTCACTAAAGAAAACTTAGAAAAGCACGTAGTAATATATTTTAACTCTTTCGAATATGCCAAGGAAGGCTTATGTCAACACTAAGGTTTATCGAGTAAATGATCTCATTTAAATAAGTAGGTATTTTATCCTCTATTTAGCCTTGCTGTTTGGTAATAGTACTATGTTGCCACATCATATTTTCTGTAAACATATTAATATTTTCATTCGTAAGCCTAATTATAATACATAACAGAACAATAAAATTTTCATATAAATACATACAAATAAAGAATTTTCTTGTCTTACGTATTACGTTGTGTTGTTGAACATATACTGAAACAAATCGCTTTATATAAAATTTTTTGGATTTTTAACCATATTTCTACCGAAAATTAATCTAATTTTTATTACTTTTTAGGCCAGGAAATATAGAGTTTGACGCGACTTTTTGTTTCGGCAAGCTGAATTTATCACTATAGATGCTAAATATTATGTACAATAACATATTAGTTTCCACAGTCATAAAAATGGGGGGAAGATTGTTTACAGGGTGGTTAATTGTATAATTTTTACGTAAATTCACGTTTTTCGCTTATAACTTTTTTCCTTTCATTTCCACGAGAAAACAGTAAAGTGCTTTTTTTCGTCTTTAAAAGACCTACAAAACTAGCCCTGGAGCGTCAAAATATTGATTAGATCAAAAGTTATAAACAGAAGAAATTTATTTATGCTTTTTGAATTAAACATTTATAAACTGCGTTATTATTACCAGAATGTTTTGGCATAGCATCCTCTCATTCCTTATCACTGTCTAATAACTCACACAAAATCTCGAATCGGTAAGTTGAATAGTTTACAAGTTATGAAAAGAACTTTAAGTTAAAAAAAAATCGTCAAGATTTGTTGAAAAACAACGGAGTTACAGACTGTTTACAGACTGTCAAATATATTATTTTCAAGCGAATTTCGCTTATTTAACGGCAGGACTATGAATATTTTCGTCATTTTCTTCGGACTCACTGTCGTTCGCTTTCCCCACCCTTCCGTCGCGCCACGGCTCGCCGAAAATCAAGCGACCCACTAACTTTTGACAATATTTCTTATGCACTTAACATACTTCTACAAATAAAATATTTTTATCTGGGAAAGTACTCGGGTTGACGGTTATGACAGTATTTTTTTGCCGCTACCAGCCTAATTTGTTTAACAATAGGCCGTCAACTTTGACAGTCTGTAACTCCGTTGTTTTTCAACGATTCTTGATGATTTTTTTTTTAACTTAAAGTTCCTTTCATATATTCATATATAACTATATCACACTCGTGCGTCGTATATTTCATTTTGCAACTAAGGCTAAAAAATAAAAAAAATGTCCATGTTGCAAATTTGAAATTAAAAAAAAATTATAGATTTCAGTGTATTATTATGAAATCTACCGTGAAAAAAATCAGTGCGATTGTTCAGGATCCTCGGGATCGTCCAGACTAATAATTATTTAATTTGTTTATAAGGCCATAACTTGTAAACTATTCAACTTACCGATTCCAGATTTCGTGTGAGTTATTAAAATGTTCTGGTAATAATAACGCAGTTTATAATGTTTAATTCAAAATTCATAAATAAACTTCTTCTGTTCATAGCTTTTGATCTATTCAATATTTTTTTACGGTCGAGGGCTAGTTTTGTAGGTCTTTTGAAAACGAAAAAAAGTACTTTACTGTTTTGTTGAAGCGAAAAACGTGAATTTACGTATATATTATACAATTAACCACCCTGCATACAATCTTCTCCCCATTTTTATGACTGTGGAAACTAATATGTACATAATATTTAGCATCTATAGTGATAAATTCAGCTTGCCAAAACAAAAAGTCGCGAAATGGTCATTTCCCAGCTTATTTTCCTGGCCTATTTTAATCCAACTTGCGGGGGATAAAAATGTTACGAGCGCATTTACTTCGAAAAAAAAAACATAATTACTGAGAATATTTCGTTAATGGAAGGTTTTCTTTTTTAATTTTGACACCCTGTGATTTGAAGAGAAACAACATCTTATTAAAACATGTTTGGTTCAACCAAATATTTTAACTTCAATAGTAATTAGTATTACTCAAGTATTATACATCTGTGTCTCATTGTTAATGAAACACCCTATATTAAATATACAGGGTGTTCCTAAATAAGTGTCACAACGGAACACTGTAAATTCCTTTTAAAAAAAGAAAAATGCTTTTTCTCTTCCATTTTTCTCTCCGAGCTTTCGTTTTCGAGATACACGGTGTCAAAACTTTAATTTTTTTTGTAATTTTTTGCCAATATCTTAGGAACCGTTTGAACTACAGAACTGAGTTTTTGTACACTGATTACTACTATTAATAGCTACTTTTTCGCACCCTTCTCAAATTCATTGAACGTGCCAGTGGTGGAGATTTTAAGGTATCGTAAGGGTTTTTCCCCCCCTAACTTTTACGCCACTGGAAAAATTAACATTTGACAGCAAATTCTGAAACGCCAATAAATTTTACAAAAAAAAGAGTTCTCTTGGTTCATTCCTCTAAAGTCAACCGTTTTCAAGAAAAATGACTTTTTATGAACAAAAACAAACATTTTGCTAACGTTTCGAAAATTTTTTGTAATTCAAAAGATAGATAGTAATAATTAACAATTTTAACGAAGTTTATCAACATTTGCAACAAGTGGCTATGTGTGTACAAATAAGCTCAGGCCTGTAGTTCAAACGGTTCCTAAGATATTGGCAAAAATCTGAAAAGAAGTTTTGACACCGTGTATCTCGAAAACGAAAGCCCGAATAATGTTTCTCTTTTCAAGAGGAATTTACAGTTTTCCGTTGCGACACTTATTTAGGAACACCAAGTATAATCAACCTTGATCCGTTGTATATACATTATCACTCTGTACGACATGATGTCATGTAAATTTACCTAAGGTATCTTCCATGCCTCAAGCTTGTTCTTTTTTATTACGAAATTATTAATGAATGACAGCTCACTGCGTCAGCAAGTGCTGGTGAGAATTAAAAAATTAGCGGATCATTGTAGGCAGTAGTCTGTGAAACAATACCATTGTATTACAAGGTTTTACCTAAAAATCCCCTCATAAATTATAGGAACTAAAAAAGAATTAAGCAGCATGTAACATAATTTAAAATAAACTCTAAAATGACCTTGGAGCTTCTTTACATTCGAATAAGTTTATTTTTAAAGTCATATTTACCGTGCGAAAATCGTGCGATATTGCTGACCAAAAAGTGAGCTTCTGTACCTGCCCACGAGTTGAAAAACAGATTGAATAAAACCGGCGGATTTTTTATGTCTCGTTATAAAAAAAAATCAAATATCATTCAGATTCCGGTTATCACATTTCTTGTGTAGGGTCTCGTATAAAGTCAATTTAATATATATGAGGTTTTTGGTGTATTTGACGCCAGGAAAACGTCGCATTCCTTTTTATTAGATTCGTTCTGCTTCCAGCAGGAAAATAATTTAGCAACTGTTAAATTACAGTGCACGAAAAGTAAGTCGTTCTCCGGATGTACAAACATTCCACTGGCGAAGTTATAGAGATTATTCTTTAACCAAATACATGAATACGCTTTGGAATATTTAATTTTATAATTTTTGTTTTTTTTGTCTTACAACAACCTATATTTTTGTGAAGAATACCTCGAACTGCTCCTTTCTATTGGTTATTTTCTCTCTGTGCAGAGAAATCGGTTCGCCCTCTTTAAATATATATTACGCTTTTATATCAACAGCTTGAATTACGCTTGAACCCATGCTGGACTTAATTTTTAATATAAATTCCGGCCAGAAGATATGTAGGATGTTGAGAAAGGTATTTCATTTGTTTGTATACAATATACAAACTGAAAGTGACCCCGACTTGCCCTAAACTTTTTAGTATTAGACAAATAGTTTAATCTGCACATAAACACATTTTGAAAGCTCCAGGAATATTATATTGTTTTCGGTAAGTCTCTAAGCGCAAAATGAAAATAGTAACAACAATATAAACTTCTGCTTATTTTGGGACACATTAAGCTTAATAAACCGATCCAAATAACTCATTTAGAGGGGGGTTGAAAAGTTATGAAAAATTGTATCATTGGGATTTCTGGCGAAAGTTGACGTTAAACAAAATAGGATCCAATATAAAAGTTGTAGATTATGCAAAAATCTACAACTTTTGTAGATGTCACTTTTTAACATAACCTCAAAATTTCCGAGAAAAATGCAAAAAACTGTTTTTTTTCTGATTTTTCGTTTTTTATTTCTCATTTCCGCAAAAATAATTTAATTTTGACGAAACTTGGTGAAAGTATACCTTTATGTGTCTTAAATAACCACATCTTTTTTTAGATAACAAAATAAAGAAGTTTCCAAGATATTCATTTTTTCCTGTCTGAAACACTTTTTCTTCAAAGAAAATATCTACTGAGAAAAATCATCGTACAGAGTTCCACCAGTGATCATTTTTTTTGTTTTGACATATACTTTTTGATGAAATAAAAAATCTGTAATCACAGTTCAAAAACATGCTTAAAAATGTAAAAAAAATTTAAATTACTTGCAGCAATGAATTTTTCAGTAATTGTTGATAATTTGTTTAAATTAAAAAAAAATCAAAAACTGATTACGCCATTCAATTGTACGGAAAAAATACAAAAAAAAACTGTCTCATTGTTTGACCCAAAACTTTATTTTTGTACAGTATTGTAAACATAAGTTGTAACATTGTATTGTATTGTAAACATAAGTCGAATAGTGAATAAATAAAATAAATAATAATTTTTTTCCGTAGCATCGATTAGTGTAAGTACTTTTTTTTCAAATTTTGTTGAATGAGTGTAAAGTTTTAAAATTCCGGGTAGTTCCGGAGTTATACGCAAAAACCCGAAATTTTGCAAAATTGTTTAATTTTTTCTGGCTTTATTTGAAAACGAATTTTAAAATAAATTACATATTTACAATGCCACTTTTTTGCTCTATACAATGACGTCAACATTTTTGCAATCCAACGTTTCGTCTTCGAGAGGCCATTATCGGGTTAATTTTTTTTAATACGTCGCTGCTATTTTTATGACAAAATCATTTTTAATTCTGAATTAGAGGATATTACTATTGTATTCGCTTAAAAAGTTTTTAGCTTGTTTTAGCTATCATTTAAAATTTTTCCTAAGTACGGCTCTGAACGCTTTCAAAATATCTATTGGATGAAGTCATAACAGTATAAAATTCAATACCCCACAAAATATCCAACATTTTTTTTTACTACTATTAGCAATACTAATTAGAAATAATCAAATATTTCATGAATTCGTATTATTTTTTATTAGGTACAACTTTTTAAATTATTGATTAAAAAATATTGTTGGATATTTTGTGCTATATTGACTTTTATTCTCTTCTCTCTATCTCTCTCTCTCTCCCTCCCTCTCTCTCTCTCTCTTCCAATAGATACAGGTATTTTGAAAGCGTTCAGAGCCGTGCTCAGGAAAAAATGATAACTTTTTAAGCGATTACAATAGTAATATCATATAATTCAGAATTAAAAATGACTAAATTTTGTCATAAAAATAGCAGCGACATATTTAAAAAAATTAATCTGATGATGGCTCCTCGAAGACGAAACGTCGGATTTCAAAAATGTTGTGGTTATTTAAGACACAGAAAGGTATACTTTCATCAAGTTTCGTTAAAATTGAATTATTTTTGCGGAAATACGAAATAAAAACGAAAAATCAGAAAAAAACGTTTTTTGCATTTTCCTCGGTAATTTTGAGGTTAAGCTAAAAAGTGACCTCTACAAGAGTTGTAGATTTTTGCATGATCTACAACTTTTGTACTGGATACTTTTTTATTTGACTTGAACTTTCGCCAGAAATCCCTATTATACAATTTTTCATAACTTTTCAACCCCCCAAATCAACCCTCCGCCGCCCCTGCTCACGCATTTATTTTTTTTTTAGATTTATTATAAGCCCTTTCACCATTTCCAGTTATAAAAGTCCAGGTATCAATTCTTTTTCCACAAGTGTAATTTGGTTAGACTATAACTTTTACATTTAGTCTTAAAAACACACCCTATACAGGATGTTCCGTTTATACTTAAAAAAAGTGTGTTCCTCTTGGGAAAATAATTAAGGTGGTTCATATAACGTTTTTCTCATTAGCAGGATTGACTACTCCCACTATTTTTCCAAGAGCAACTCACCTCTCTGTAGTATTGTAGTGTAAACGGGACAATCTATTTTCTTTTTAGCACCGAAAGAATGCTGTTCGACGAGAGACGTGCTTTGGTACTTGGTATTCACGGGCTTCGCAGTGAACTATATGATCCGCATCAACCTAAACATAGCTATCGTATCGATGATCGCACAACGCCCCAAGAACAACATATCCCTCACTGGTAAATCCACAGCTGAACAACTCTATCTGGAAAATGGAACCTTGACAAGTAACGTCTACATTGTAAATTCCACAAACGCAGTAAATACAACAAAACATAATTAAAAGCAAGCAAATTCCTTTATTCAACTTCATTTTGTAGTCGTTTAATGGTACCATGAACGTGATAACACGATGGAACGCCACTACTATAGACGCAGGAAACTGGAGCGACTCCGCCACTACGCCTTCTGTGGTCGAAAACAACGTTACAGAACAACCAGACAGCAAACCTCTGTTCAAATTCGAATCTCGTAAATTCGACTGGAACGAGAAGCAACAAGGAACCATCTTGGGCAGCTTCTTCTGGTTGCACTGGACCACGCAGATCCCTGGGGGTTTACTGGCCTCAAGGTACGGAGCTAAACTGGTTTTCGGACTATCCAACTGCATGGGGATCTTGGTCTGCTTCCTGATACCGTTCTGCGCGTACAAGGGCGCGGGATTCTTGATATTTGCAAGGGTCTGTCAAGGGCTGCTGACGGTAAGTCGTCAAAATAGTCTCTGTCAAAATACAGTTTGGCTAAATTCAGCTAATTCAAATAAATTATTATTATTATAGTATTGTTAACCAAACCAGCTCTTATTTAAGAGATTTATCAAACCGTAAATTTCAGGGATTCGCATGGCCCGCTATGCATTGCATGACCGCGAGGTGGATCCCCCCCAACGAGAGGAGTAAGTTTGTAACGGCCTACCTGGGTAAGTAATCTAATTAATTGTTATTTTTATTCATACAATTTTTTATTCTTCAACTTGTGTTTCGGGCATTAACGATAATCAAACTGATTTTCCAGGTAGTTCAGTAGGGGCCTCTTTAACCTATCCCATCTGCGGCTTCATCATAGACAGGTGGGGGTGGGAGTTGGTGTTCTACACGTGCGGTGTGATGGGAATGCTCTGGTTCTTCGCTTGGGGCACTCTGGTGTACGACAGTCCTAACGAGCATCCAAGAATATCAGAGAAAGAAAGAGAATATATTGTGGCCAGTCTGGGGCAGAGTGTAGCGACAGCCAAGGAAACGGTAAACTACATTTATACGGGGTGATATAAAAATACAAAATTAAAAAATTGAGTTACTTGTGTTGTAGGGATGAAATAAATATTTATTGCGTTTCAGGCTCCCGTTCCTTGGTTGAAAATCTTTACCAGCGTCCCGGTGTGGATGAATATATTAGCCCAGTGGGGTGGGATATGGGGACTGTTCACGTTAATGACACACGCTCCTACTTACTTCAAGTTTATCCACGGGTGGAACATTAAAGCGGTAAGTGATAAAATTAATGGGACAAAATGCCACCTAGTCCCGGAAAGCGGCAGTAGTTTTAGCTTTTTTTATGAATTTTTATAATGCAGTATTAGAAAAAACAATTGCATAATGGAAATCACTAAATTAAAGAAAAAAATGTTTTTTTAAATGGAACACCCTATATATTAGTGCATATTTAGCTTCGTTAAATTTTTCTCTTTTCAAAAATATACAGGGTGTCCCGGAAATGATGGGCAATCTCTTGGATATGGATAGATAATGAGAAAATAATAGAGTTATTAGCTCTTGAAGTTGAGAATTAAAAATGTTTTTTTTTGCTGTAACTTTTGTATTTTTCAATAAATTTAGAAATTTTTTTGGCTGGATCTATAATTTTTGAAGCTGCTTTGGATGATAATATGAAATCCTCGATAATAATTATGGGGCCCGGGGGCAAAGCACCCCCACCAAAATTTCTAGAAAAAAAAAATTTTTGTTCCACTATACCCCAAATTTTCTATCATTTTATAAAAATTTATGGTATTTTACGTAACAAAGGTATACTTGTTGAATATCCATAAAATAGATATTTTTTGAAATAAACCCGTTTAAAGAGGAAGGTACCATTTAATTTGAGACATTTTATTTAATTGAAACACATATTTAATCGTGGTTGGCTTTGACATGTCAGAGTATGCCAAAGGCAATTAAATTGTCAAACTTGTCAAATACTTAGTTTTAAATCTAATACTCATCTCATAACTCATAATTTGTTATAAAATATGGAGTATTCCAATGAAGAATATGCTGATATTGCTGATATGCATTTAATGTACGGGCGGGCTCTTTGTAATGCTTCGGCAGCAAGAAGATTTTATCAGCATTCTTATCGTAATAGAAGGATTCCGGATCGCAAAACTTTCGAACGTATTGATCAAAGATTAAGAGAAACTGGTAAAATACGATTACTATTATTAAACAAAATGGATATTAAATAAATTTTAATGTCTTTAGGTCAGTTTGCTCCTGTTACTGCAAACAGGGGTGCCCCGTGAACAGCATGTACAGTTGAAGTAGAGGAAAATATACTGGACGAAGTAGCTGCTCATCCAACAGTTAGCATTAGGTCATTATCTTCTTTTACCAATGTTCCAATGACCAGTGTTTCAAGAATCCTTAGAGAACAGCTTCTTCACCCTTACCATATCCAAAAAGTGCATGCTCTTAATACTGATGATTTTCGTGCAAGAGTACAGTTTTCTCAATGGTTGCTTCAGAGACATGAGCAAAATCCTATGTTTACGAGATTAATTCTGTATACTGACGAAGCAAGTTTTGGAAGGAATGGAGTTATTAACTCCCATAATTTACATTATTGGTCTAATGAGAACCCACACGCTATTATTGAAACTAGGCACCAAAGACAATTTTATGTTAATGTTTGGAGTGGAATTACTGGTCCTTACTTATTGGGTCCATTTGTGTTACCCCCTAGACTGAATGGTCAACGTTACCTAGATTTCCTTGTGCATCAATTACCACAACTGTTAGAAGATGTTGATCTTGAAACCAGAAATGCACTGATATTCATGCACGATGGGGCGTCGCCTCACTTTAGTGATGCAGTAAGGGACCATTTAAACGAGGTATATCCTAATCGCTGGATAGGCCGCGGTGGACCTATTCATTGGCCTGCCCGAACTCCAGATATGAACCCACTTGACTTTTTCTTTTGGGGGCACTTGAAAAATCTTGTTTATTCCACACCTGTAACCACTAGAGAAGAATTCGAAGAAAGGATTTTTTATTGTGCAAATGAAACGACAAAATCCTGAAATGTTATGCAGAGTGCAACAGTCTTCTGTTAAACGAGCTCGTATTTGTATAAGAGAAGGTGGAACTAATATTGAGAATTTATTATGAATTATATTAGTTACAAAATTTTGATTGTATGCACTTTTCGTTTAGTTAGTTTAGTTAAATCCAAATTCTCATAATTTGGAACACTGCTCTTGCAAATTATTTGTCCTTTATTCTGATATGTAAAAGCCAACTACGATTAAACCTGTGTTTCTGTTAAATAAAATGTCTCATTAAATGGTACCTTCCTCTTTAAACGGGTTTATCTCAAAAAATATCTATTTTGTGGATAATCAACAAGTATACCTTTTTTACGTAAAATCCCATAAATTTTTATAAAATGATGGAAAATTTAGGGTATAGTGGAACAAAAATTTTTTTTCTAGAAATTTTGGGGGGTGCTTTGCCCCCGGGCCCCCATAATTATTATCGAGGATTTCATATTATCATCCAAAGCAGCTTCAAAAATTATAGATCCAGCCAAAAAAATTTCAAAATTTATTGAAAAATACAAAAGTTACAGCAAAAAAAACATTTTTAATTCTCAACTTCAAGAGCTAATAACTCTACAGGTTGTGTCCAGAGGAAAAAATTTTATATGAACTTGTGACATTATTTTCTCATTATCTATCCATATCCGAGAGATTGCCCACCATTTCCGGGATACCTTGTATAGGGTGTTCCATTAAAAAAAAGTTGTCAGATTATAGTGACTAACCCTGTACAAATAAATTATAATTATTCTTCATTCTATCCCTTCCAACTTTTTTTATGTAAAGCAAACAGCTGAACCACCCTGTACTAATAGAAAATATTCACCTTTAAACACAAGACTGACTTGTAAAATTACCCATTATACGTCTGTTTGCTCGACCTTATTAATACCCATTAATCACGGCAGTGATTAATGAGTCATTAATCACTACTGTCAGAAGCTTCCTTGATTTAGCTATAATATTATATTGTTCTGCTACAAACAGTCGGTTTTTTTAAATTTTATCGTGTAAACCACTAAATATTTTCAATTCAGTGCTGTACAACATATAAAAAAAAAAATTAAAAAAGTGAATTTTCCTAGACCAGATTCGAACCCAGGACCAGCGGTTGGAAGGGAAGGAGCATCTACACTGAGCCATCAGCGACTTCGTTTGTGCGTGTCGTATATCTGTTGCTTAACATACTATGTTTTTCGAAACATTTGATAAATCTAAGTGGCTTTTAAAACAAAACAAATTTGACTCAAACCTGTCAACATTATTGTTTGTGTGCATAGATTTCTCAGTGTTTTGATATTTTGTGTTAAATTGTGTTAAAAAACGAACTAAAAACAAAAAAAACTTCAACAAAAATATTTAGTAGTCGTGGATAAAGTATAGTATTCTGCTCCCGTATAATGGCTATTATCCACTCGGTGATTTAGGCCACTCGCCTGCGGCTCGTGGTCGTAAACTTCACCTCGTGAATAATACCCATCATTATACGCTCGTTGAATAATATACTATTATTAAACAGACTTGTATACATAAAATATAAGGCATACATATAATTTCTTTACAGTATTAACCGACTGGATCGACTTAAAAAATCATCGTCAGAGGTTAAAGATGTTATGACTTCATACTTTATTTAAATGTATTCAAATTTTATTTAATGATATGTGCATACAAGGATTTTGTTGTATCTCAACCTCCCAACATAAATACTATTTCCTCTACAGTCAGTTCTTACATCTGACATATCTAAGAGACCCCGTTTTGCTTGTTTACAAGTCCAGTCACTGCTTTTATTATTCCAGACGGGGCTGCTGTCGGGCATGCCGCATCTCCTGCGGATGCTCTGGGCCTGGGTCTTCTCCCAACTCGGAGATTATTTGCTGCGATCCAATAAGATGACAAGGTCGAACGTGAGGAAGCTGGCCACAATCGCCTGTAAGTACACTCTACCGGGAAGTAAGTACGCCACAACGAATACGTCCTGTTGCTAAGAGGCGTATTCGTTGGTCTGCAATTCGCTTTATCTAAACGACAGTTCGCTTGTTCATTGTTCGAGGAATTCGGTGTTTCAAACTGGAAAGGTGGAGATTCTAATACTTAAAAAGAAAAAACAATAGCAATGTTCAAAATCAGTGTTCGAACGATTCAAAGTAGATTTTGTAAAAGAAGAGTAACACTTTCAAATGCCATAACAAGTCCTGTGGTTTTTCGCATTTTTAATTTAAAATATCTCTAAAAATTGATGCAGTGTAGCAATTTTAAACCAGATCTTTGTGAAGTTAAAATGTTACTTGTAATTAAATAACTATAATAATAAGTTTTTCTCGATTTGAATAGCACACTGCTCACCCCCATTTCATCTACAGCAAATCACGATGGAGAGCAGCTAGCATCCATCTGAAAAGACATCCCCACTTCCGAAACCAAATCCATTAGTCGCTCTAAAACTACATCCGTTCCCATCCGCTCCAACTATCATTCCCAGATGGCTCTGATAATTGTTCGACTCTGATTAAAATGCATTTAATTCAAATCAAACTCGATCTCTGACGACGTCATCCACTAGAATCGAATTTGCAACCGTAGTTACAGATTAATTTTGTTTATATACCCGTTTCCCAAGCGACAGTACAAAGACACATTAGGTTAAGTTTGTTTATACAGGGTGTTCTACAAGCTCTGTGACAGATTTTGACAGATAGATGGTAGCTGACTCAATTTCAAACATTTCTTCTTATATGAACATAGGTCGATTCATTTTTGTTTAGAAGTATTTTAAAAAAATATAATTTTATATTTCAATCAAAGTAATGGCATTGTCATTGATCTTTTTACATTATTATTCATCCACTGGTGATAGAAATATTAGAAATACTAGAAAACTAGTACATAAGCTGCTAAAAAGCTGTTTGAATGAAAGAAAACATGTACCAAACTTCAGCTCAGTAAAGAATATGACGTTGAGCATGGTGTTCCTCAAGGAACAGTTGTACACAATTATATGAACAAATTATAAATGAACAATAACCAGTTTTGTTGAGGCTACAGCAGTCTTACTTATTACAGACTTTTGCTAAGAATTAAAAGCAAATTCTGCAGTGGATTTAAAAAAAAACAATATAATAGAATATTCCTAAATTTAAACAAACTGACCAATTAATTTTACTACTACATCACTAATTGATGTTACTAAAATGGTCCTTCATTTTTCTTCGAAGCACATTTATTTGTGCAGCTTTTTGCGCATAAAACAACCGATTGCTCTGCAAAATATCACCCCTGATTTAAATAGAGCACGCTAGAGGAACTAAAACCTTATAAACTTTTAAAATAGAACCCATTACCAGCCTGAAACTACTCGAAGTGTTCCCAACGCTCCCGACTATTACAATAATCGGAATAATCTCCTTCCTTATGGGAAGCGCTTATTCCAAATCATGCCCGATCACTTTTAATAACAGCTCCGACATTTAATTCCAGGCTGCTTTGTCCAGGGAGTGTTTATGCTGGCCCTGGCCTATTCCGGATGCGATCGCAACGCTGCTATAGTCTTCCTCACGCTGGCAGTCGCTTCGCATGGGGCAGTCTCCACAGGACCCTTGGCAAGTATCGTGGACATCAGTCCCAACTACGCAAGTAAGTATAGAACAGTTGTGTAAAATACCTCCTCACATCTCTGCGATCCTGATAACTGCGAAATACGTCTTCACTTCTATAATCAAAAATTACCGAAAATTTATTATTTTAATAATAATTTTCCCTTTAATGATATTCAGAGAATCATTTTATTCGAAGATAAAGGACGATAAAAGTGTTTAGACAGGAACAATATTTTATTTCTTGAAGCTAAGATGAAACCCATATCCTCCTCATTGACCGCCGAATTATTTCAAAAACACCAATAGCCTTATAAGATTTAGGTCCGGAGATCGAGCAGGCCATAACTGAGATCATTTCGACCAATCCAGTGATCTTAACATGGTGTTAAAAACTCGAGAAAGTACACTAAAATGCGTTTCTCGTAGCCAATGGTAGGGATATCCCCTACAAACTCAATCAGTGAATGTTCCAAATAATTTCGTTGCGCCTCATTAGCGAGTCTTCCTGGTAGACCACAATTCCGATCGAAACATACAATGAAGACTAACAAAAATGATTCTCAAGTACCTCATCTGGGTTTTGTCCAGTCCATATAGAACTACTGAGAAAATTCCTTACTGCATTCTTGAGGAATTTGGTTCATCAGTAAAAGGAATCAGAGTTCGAGGATTTGGACCAATGTTTGCAGAAGCCTTTGATGATGTAATCATGGAGGAAAACCAGCACTGCAATTGCTGCACAAAATTTTTTACACCGTCCTATTACTAACATCGACGTTATTTACAAATTTTTCTACTAGAAATACCTGGATTTTCCGCATTTCCTTTCACTTTTACCGTACTAGTATTCCAAGGTTTTTCTCATGTTTCTAATCAAGTAATATGCAATGGTAAATTGTTACAAGCTAATTTTGACACACTGTATTTATACATTGAGAAATAATATTGACAGAACCCTCCAATTTGGCCACATGACGCGTGACGTTTTAAAAAAATTGATAAACAAGTCGTGCGACTAATGAAGACCGTATCGCATTATATAAAAAATAAATTTAATTTCTACACTGACGAAACGTTTCTGCCCTATCTTTCAAAAGAAAAAATTAATGAGCAGGACATATACTCTTTTCGTACTTCATTCCACTCTTTAAATCTGGAATATATCAATGCCAGGTTATTTTTTGGCCAGTCCTGTTCGGATAAATCACCCTCAGCACGTAAACAAATAAATAAATGAGATTTTCGAGGGAGTTTTTATTCTTATTTTCCAGTATTTCTGGGCCGTTTGAAATTTACGATATATAGATGCATTCATATGGTAAAGGAAATAAAGGGGAAGATGAGATCTGCATAAATATGCGCATATGTGATTACATGGTGTTACGAAATTCACTAACAAATACATATTTACATAATGATATAACGTCCACATGAAGCACTTGCATTATTCAGTAGTACTTTCACTGATATAATTTGATTTTCATCATTTTGACATTATCGACATGCCCTTAGCTTGAAACCTTTGATCTGTCGTTGTTCTCGGGCTAGACTCCGTGGAAACAGCTATCGGAACCCCTACAGTTCATAAGCGGTCTTAGAACCAAATGCAAGGACTGAAATGAAGATCATTGCGGATCTAGGGGTTCTTATAGCTGGTTAACAGAAGTTTATTAACTTTTTTAATTAATTTACTCGAGTAATCAATTTTAATTTTAATTCTATCACCTTCTTAGGTGTAATTTTTGGATGCTGTAATACCATTGTTGCGATGGTGGGATTTCTAACGCCAATTGTAGTTGGACACCTGACATTCCAAAACGTAAGTAAAATTATTGACAATAATAATAACGCGTTATTATTGTTATGACCATTTGTTTGTTAATCTTTGATAATATTTACTTCTGCTCTACTTTACCTCACTTTTTTGCATGATTAGATTTCTGGTATCGAAGATCATCATCAATACGGTCGATAGCCGCATGGTTTAAGGCGTCAGTACTTAAATCGGTGTGTCGATCTGCCCGGGTTTCGAATACCGCGGCAGGTAGACCGTAGATTAGCTATGCTTGTACGGAGGATTGGCACCCTCTGTGCAGGTATGGTAGGGTGGAAGAATGTTGGCTTGGGTCAATGTGAGAGATTGACACCGGTTGGCATTGACCACCCCCCTAATTAATGAGGTTTTCCAGGTTTCCCTCATTCTTGCACTGAATGGTGGTTAGGGCCTTCCAACATAAGTCGTTCCTGGGCGCAAATGCGGCCTGCGTAATAATAATATGCCGCCTCCTCTCCCGCACAAGTCTCCGACTTCTGGGCTAATTCTCGTAGTTAGAATGAGGAGTAGAGATATTATTATTATTGTTACACTTCATTTACTATGATTTTTTAGAATAAATATCTAAGTTTATTTGACCATTCAACTACCTTTTTTGTGAATTCTAATCCTGAACTAAGGAAGCTCATGTTCGTATTTTCCGTCAGTTTTACATGCAGAATCCATTTCCTTCAGCATCAGGTATTAGGAAGGTGAAATTTGTATGCAAATTTATTAAGAAACTTGTTACTGAAATAATATTCTGAAATGAATTCCTAATTTAGTTACTGCTCTTGCAACTCCTAAATTTATTCAAATACTTCTGTAAGTCCGCTTGCAAACCACGTCGTGTCGACAAGTTTACTCCTCCTGTTGCACCATTTTCTTGAAAGGTTATACCCCCTGAGAAAAACACCTTCAGAATCCTCAGAAGTAAAAAGCGAAACAGTAATTAAGAGAACTACATTATCTGACTTATTAATATTGTTCGAAATAATTAATTTTGTCATGAATGTAGATAAACTACAATAACTTATAAACATAAAGTGTTGTTGTCTAATTAAAGTCCATATATTATTATTTTAGCTAATTGAGTTAGTGAGGTATCAAATATTTAATTTTGTGCGATAATACCTCGACATATTTGAATAACATATTTTATACTGAACAGATGGTTTATATTTACTGGCTATCAAAAGTTTACTGACATATTTCAAAAACTACATGAAGATTAATGGGCAAGCTATATAGAAGGTACTTAATAAATTAGGTAAATTGCCCTGGCAGAGATAAAAAGGCAGGTTTCATAAAAATCGTGGAATATACCCGGTGTCCGTTTCCCAAATTATGAGAGATTTGACATATATTTTATCTTCTAATATTTGTAATATATTTTTGTTTCTATTTACACTTTTTTAGCTTATTACATATACAGGGTGTTAATGAACTTATGTCAAATATTTTTGCCATGTGTCCCTTGCCACTTTTTGAGAACTGCTGATTTTTATAGAAGTTGTTCGATGCATCCACCATTTGCTTGCACACAAGCTTCAGCGCGACGTATCGAATTCGCTCGCACGCGTTGCAGTCCTGTGGTGAGTGTTGTGGACGTTACTTACACCATTTCGACTGAAACATTCTTCATCTGTAACAAGTATTTGCGTTGTTAATTGAGGATTTCTTGCATGTTCCTGAAGTAACCATTCGCAAAAATCTCGAGCTAGTGGAAAATCTTCAGGAGTAAGCGCTTGAACACGTTGAATATGAAATGGGTACAACTGAGCTTTTCGTAATACCCGCCACACAACAGGATGCGAAATATTTACTTGCTGTGCGATATTTCTGGTGCTACGATGCGGATCTTCTTCGACGAGATCTTAAATCATCTCCTCGACAATTAAGATTCTTAGTGGTCGCCCTGGGCCATCGTCGCGATTTCGACGCAGTTGTACTTCACCAGAACTCTTTGCGCGTACAGGGGCACGCCGTTCACGATATCTCGCACGGTACACTTGACAATAAGGCTATTAAATGAACTCGCGAAAAACAGCACAGCAATCACTACAACAGTGTATCTGACTTTCTAATACAGTCCGGCTTCATAAGAAACCTACAAACTCGTAAAAAGTGTTACAGAATTTTTTGTAAATACTCGCCGCGATAAAATACATATATTTCAGCAGTTCCAAAACAGTTTTAAACACATTTTTAATTAGCCTTTTTCTCTGTGACCTTAAACTTCCGATACAAGTTTGTGACGTCAGTTAACTCAGTTTTTGCTCCTTTTTCGCCCCTTTAAATTTTTTACATAAGTTCATTAACACCCTGCATGTATTTAAAAATATTTTTGGATTGTATTTTGTAGCAATTTTACGTTATTTTACAATAACTTTTTTGTATACTTCTACGTATTCTTTAAGCGGGGATGTTTATTTCATAATTGCTGTCATATCCTCTGCCCCTTCAATTTACGAGGGGGGCATTTCGCTAATTGACAGAATTTCGAGAGTAAATTTGCTCTCACATTGTTTATTAATTATGCCTAATGGATAGTCCGATACAGAAGCCCCAATACCAATAAGTCTGGAATCAATTAACGTCTCACCTCGTATTCATTTCGACGCCGTCTGCCGCGTCCCATAAAGCCTTAGCATTGGGTTCCTTTATTGGTACATGGTAATAAAAATAATGACGCTTTTATAGGGCAGTTTTGTATGCGACGTTGGGAGAACGGCGTATTGTTTCTTGATCAGGATTTATTACGTTTCATAACCAATTTCCTCGCAATTTGTCCTGTTATTAAAAGAGGAAAAGTGAGTTATGCGTTGAAAACGTACCGTTGCTTTTTATAAGGATTTATTACGGTACTTATGAGCTGTTTAGCTCCTTAGAATGCAATTTATTTTTTCATTAAGCCTAAAGAAGTTGAATTCTCTGTGGAGCGAAATTAATTGCTATACTTTTTATAAATTAAAACAATATTTTTAGTAGTGTTCAGCGCTGTATGTAATTGTAGCCCCACAAAATTCTTCAGGAGTAAAAGTTGCCCTTGTTACAATTTTAAATCATAAATACGAGTGCATTGTCCTGTAAAATATCGTTTTACCTCTGTTTCAATTATAAAAATGAGAGAATCATCCAACAAACTTTTAATCAAAAAATTTAACATCATAACTGCGACAGTGATTTAATTTAACCCGACCAAAGTTTTATCATTGTGTTTCCTAATATAAGATCTTAAAGTCTTAAAAGTACAAACTCTTACAACGGGAAACATTCCTAAGCTTACATTTAAGACATACTGGGTATTTTCCTTTTGTTTAAAATTATTTTGAAAGGCGTTTGGACTCTTACAAAAAGAAATTTCAGAAAGCGGTCTAGTATATTTTATTCATAAAAAGAATATTTGTTTAAAAATATATACAGGATGTGGCGTGTATAATCTATAAAAATACAGCTTCCTGATGATATTTGTAATAGAAAAGTCTTATACGAAAAAGTTCTATCTTCGTGTTTTTTTTTTGTAAATTAAAGTTCATTTATCCAAAAAAGTGTAGGCCGACCCTGTGTTAGTTATTGGAAATATTTTCATTATTCACTTAATTATTAAATATTAAGCATCGTCCATCGACCCATCAGTGTTAAAAAGTGAAAGATTCCAAACAAAAGTTTTTATTTTGTAATTCCACGATAGTGACAGTGTAATTTTTATAAAGAAGTAAAAAATAAGAATAGCGTGCCGACTACATTAAAAACGAGATTATTATTTCTTACTTTACTTAATTTTTTAGTTTGTGCACAAACTAGTTTTAGAATGAACCAAGAAAACAATGTATTTACTATTCCCGAACGTGTTGATATGGTGTTAGTGTATGAGCCTGAGAAAATGCTCTCGAAGTGACTAGGTTGTACCGGGAATAATGGCCAAACGTCACCCTCCATGTGCAAATCCTACAGTGCGTTCAGCGGCTGCGAGATACGGGAAGTGTTATTCCTCGAGGAGAAGGGCTTGGTTAGCGAGTGAACCTTAATGTTGAAGATGCAGTGTTGGAAAATCTTGACGAAGACCCCACAATTAGTACTCGACGACTGCAACTAGTTCAACAGATTTTATCCCGGGATTGTGATCAGATGGTTTTTACGGCAATGTACCAATCAAGTACACTTTCCTGCTTATGTTTGTGTAACAGATGAAGCGATATTTACCCGTGATGAAATGAATTTCCATAATATGCACATATGGGCCGATAAAATCCTCATGCGATTAGGGAAACTCATTTTCAACATCGGTTCACGGTAAATGTTTGGGCTGGCATAATAGGCGATGTACTTGTGGATCCCTATTTCTTTGAAGGACGACTAATGCACGCAGTTGGCAACTACAGATGCTTACGGATGTGGTTTTGTTAGCGAATTCTTGCAGTAACAACAACGCATTTAAGATGGTACTGCTATTAATTTATTATAATGAAAAAATATCAGTTTTTTTTTAAATATCTATTTTTCTTAGTTTGTCCTTTTGCATTGAAAAATTCCCCAAAAATTGAGAAGTATCTTTCTGTCTTTCAACGACGATCTGTTTACGCGGCTGGTCTACAGCATGTAACTCATCGTACAGCACACGGACAGGACCGTTCTAGAGAAAATATTTTGATCCATAATTTACGAAGAAAAGCGCAAAAATAGAACTTTTTCGTATAAGACTTTCTATATTACAAATATCGTTAGGAAGCTGTAGTTTAATTTTCATCGATTATACACGCCACACCCTGTATACATTCCAGTTAAATTGGCGTTATATCTACAACATTTTTTATCATTTCGGGATAATTTTATGGTTAAATGATGGGTAAACTCTTGTACGTAACAGTTTTTGTTGCTACTGCAATATAGGTAAAAAATTCTAAACGTTAGCAGTACCCCATGCACATAGCTGGAGTACATTAATTTTCAATTGTTAATATGTAACTGCTGGTTAAGAGCAAACAAGCGCGTGTGCATTATTAAGTCCACAGAGAGAGCATATTTGTTCATCAAGACATGCCCGACAAAATTGAATCGACGCAGTGAACTGGAACTATCGAAACCGCTTCTACCAACTTCTCCAGAACGGAGCAATTTGTTTTATTAACTGTGTTTGAAGTATAACTGTATTTGCATTTGAATATCATACAGACTTCATAGAAGTTTTATTTAACTTAACCGTCAACTAAGTTGACGGAAATATGGCATATTAAACTTGTCTCGAACATAGCTAGATGTTGAAGTTTAAGTGGAACACCACGACATTTTCCTTTTCCTTCATTGCTGCTCTTTGAAACTAAATTCAATCTATTCTCTTTTGTAATCGATTTTTCGTAGCAAACCGTCCAACAATGGCAGAAAGTCTTCTGGATAGCCGCTGTCTTCCTCTTCACCAGTGGGATTCTCTACACCATCTTCTCCAGGTCTGAACTGCAGTCTTGGAACTCACCCGAGAAGCAGAACGGACTCCCTGAGACAGAGTTGATGGTGATCAAGAAGAAGAATCAAGTCGAAGACAATGAAAAGAATGGGGAATATGAAAAGGTCCCTGTAGCTTACAGTGATCTGAAGGAAAAATGAGAGCTTTAGCGAATTATTTAGTTTAATTGCTGTAATATTTATTATTACACTGTTGTAAATAAATCTTTACTCTAATTGAAGTTGCTTAGGGGAAGGTTAGAGGGAAAAACGGGTAGCGTTGACTTTTGACACCGGGATCAATGACCCTAACATAACCAGTCCCATATCTTTTTAACCATTGAAAAACTAAGTCGAATCCTAGCCAAACAACTTAGTGGAGCAGATGAAAGAGTTTTAGCCTCATAGTGTTACAAGCAAATTTAATGTACTAGTGGTAATGTTACATCTGTATAAGTCGGTGTGAGTCCTATGACAATTTCAAATGCAGTAGATGTAGTTTCAAGACACTCTAATATGTCTTGGGATGAATAGACTAGGTCAAAGGGACTTCCATTACTCACGACGGATACATAGGCACGTACTAACGCTTAAAAGTTATAGCTGTAAGTTTATGGATCTGGTCTGAAGCCATAAATTTGCCCGATATCGTAAACTCACTCTAAAGTCCTACGAGAATTTCTAACGACGTTGATGAGAAACTCATGCACCAAAATAAATTTAACTTATTTTTGCTGGGCATTGCAATCTATAAACGTCGCACATTATTTGTTCCGTAGCGGCGTTTTCTTACAAATCTTTAATTCCTCCTGGCGTCGAACAAAAATAAAATGCAGCCTCGCCGGAACTTCCTGCAATGGAGTCTGATTGAGTCTGTAATTAAAGACTCGTTGCTTAAACAATTGACAGTTAGCTTACGCCGCGAGAGAACAGATAAAAAAAAGTCAGCTGGGACCTGACGCGACCCAGTTCCGCAATTTCCCAATACGTGGGAGACGCTGTATTCAATATCTACGGGCGCGCGGGACTGACAGAGTTTTGAGTTAAAATTTTCTTGAATTCGGGTGCAGATCCCGCCGATATTTGTTGTGGGTCAGAGTTCTCAGTTTGTTTGCCGGTCTTAATTTAATTCTTATTTCTCCTTTGTTTACAATTATTCGGTGTGTTAAGTCACATCGTACAAATAACCGCACTGAACTTGATCTAGTTACTGCAGTTGATCAGCTGATTAAGCGGGACGATGCCGGGTCGGCCTAAGTTTCGCGTAATAACACATGACGCTTATTTAATTAAATTGTTTATTTTCACGTCCTCTGCTACCCCTACTCATTTTAGAAACTATTGACATAACAATATTTTTTTACAAAACTTTTGCAATAATTACAAAAATTTTGCCAGTATTTTTGGGTAAATATCCATCCCAATCCCTGTAGTATTTTATAAACGAGCATCTCTAGCAAAAACCGCTTGTCTGAGGAAGATTTAGGAGTTCCCTTATGAAACAGAGGGGCCGATATTCGTTATCTGGGAAGATTAATGCGAGGCTGGACACAGCCCGCAATGTACGTCCTTTTGACCTCATTTGACTTCGCTGAGGATTTTCTTAAATTGGATGGCTTTACGTGACATATTATGTACTGACTGCTAAGTTAAAACCACGATAAAGTCTAATTCTGTGATAAACTGAATCACTGAAGGACATAAGGTTCCTTCCCGTCAACGTTTCGGAAAATGTAATTGCTGCTTCAGATTTGATAACTGTTCACAGTTGTTTTATTGTTACTCTTATACAAACAGCCAATAAGGTGCCTTCCAGCGACACCAGGTTCGGCGAATGTACAGGGTGAATTTACGGAGACATTATTTTTTTAATTAATATATGATGATTCTCGTAGAAGGTCAGCACACCAATTTATGTCAGCACACCAAAGAAAGGGCAACTTGAAGATGTCAGCATCTTGCCACATGACAATTTTATTATGAGCGAATGCACTCGCCGAGCTTCGCGTCGTGTGAAGACGCCTTTAGGCAAGCAATTACTAGCAACTAATACCAATACCAATTTCAGTACTCGATTAAACACTGTTTTAATTAAAAATTGATTAAAAAGAAGAGAAGGCGAACCGCTCGATATTTGCCTTTCATTTAAAGGGGTCAGCTGCGAAGATGTTCCGTAAACAGTTTTGGTGAAGACATCGCCGACGTCTATAATTGAGGATGAAGCCTGCTACTTTCGCTGTAGCTTCGCGGCAAGCTTATGATAACTTTTTTCATATGTCTGTCATTCCTAGGACTTCAGCAGATGCCTTGTCTTTGGACGTTTTTCGTCGAACTTTAGCAGTGACGGACTGGGACATTCCATTTTCTTTCTATCTCTCCAACAATTTAAAACAACAACAATGTTTAACGTCTAGAATTATAGTTTATATGACCGTGTTTAGTTTGAGCCTTCAATTGATTCGTCCGTGGCATCTTGATCCTAAATGAGCTTTATTAGATTGATAAGATTTGAGAGGTAGGTACAAATCTCGATGCGGGGTAATTATTTTGAAGAAGACCTATATAATTTGTAGAGATTCCTGCACAGGGGTTCTTAATGGCTGTATTTCGTGATTTCGGAGGACTATCTGTAATTGCATCGTGCTTAAAGCTATAGCCGATTTCCTGAGTGCAATTGAAAGTCGTCGTTCCGCTCTATTTTTCACTCTGTTGGTGACCTGAGTTTGATCACTGTTAGTTAAATCGGCAATTATCATTTGAAAAGTATCAGTATTTTGATTTAGGTATTCGCATATCAAAGTATAAGTCAAGTCAAGTCAAAAATATTTATTGTGCATAGTTACAATGGCAATATACAAACCAAAAAGACTAGACACAGATAGATAACTGATGATTAGCCTACCCCTCAGAAAGTCAATTAACTCACACATAATAACAAGTCTACATATTACAAGCAATATAATTATAAAGAACTATTAAAACTATGTAACTTATAAATATACATACACAACACTCATACATGCCTATACAAATACACGTGCAAATACATAGTATACTCAGACAGATACTCATACACACACACATATTATATTAATACAACTAAACTAAAAAACTAGAAAACAGCAGCATTTGTGGAGTTACTGTATAAAAATGTTACATTTGCCAATATCATTCTGTAAAAAACTTGTTCTTTTAAGCAAATAAGAATGTTTTAAAAAATTGTCTTAACCAAAAGAAAGATTATTAAAAAAAGTACAATAATAAATCCAGTAAAATAATATCGCGTACAAAAATAAGTAGAAGGATTATATTTTAACACCATATTAAGGTAAATACAATAATTATAACGAGCGTTCAAATAAAAACGTGGTCAAGTTGGTTCTGAAAATTTGGACGTAGGGCGTAGCGTATAGCAAATGAACTTAAACGTCATCTGTCAAAGCGCTATATCGCCGCTATCAATTTGAATATTTTCGTTTTAAAAAGCGTTTAAAATGGTGTTTTCTCAAGAACAAAAAGTGTTTATCATAGAGTCCTACTTTAGAAATGGACGCAAGATTGATGGAATATGGAAGTATTCTATTGAGGAATGTTTCATAGAATTTCAAAATCAATTTCCCGGCGTTGTTGAGTACAAAATTTTTCAAAGTGCAGTTCAGCGTTGTGTTAATGTTTTTCGTGAAACGGGCAGTGTAACAAGAAAAGAAGGAAGCGGCCGACCTAAAAAGCGGACTGAAGAATTAAAAGAAAATGTCCAACAAATAATGGAAAATGCGCCAAGAACTTCTGTACGTGTTTTATCACAAATGGTGGGAGTATCAGTCGGTACCTGCCACACAGTGTTAAAAAAAGATTTGCGTTTGTTCTCCTATCGTTTAACTTGTCAGCAAGAACTTCATGAAGTTGATTTTCCGCGACGGGCTGTATTTTGTGAATGGTTTTTAAACAACTACGGTGAACTTCATAATATCACCTTTTTTTCTGATGAAGCCTGGTTTCATTTAAGTGGTTACGTAAACTCACAGAATATGAGAATGTGGTCTTCTGAAAAACCAGATAACTTTTTTGTCGAGGGCCCTCTACACGCTCAAAAAATTGGAGTTTGGTGTGCTCTCAATCGAAGGAGGATTTATGGACCTATTTTTTTTAATGGTACTCTTACTGCGCAAAGGTATAGAGAAGAAATTATCGCTCCTTTTGTTAACCAGCTGGAAGAAAACGAAATTACAAACTTTTACTTTCAACAAGATGGCGCAAGGGCACATACGGCAGGCGAGACGATGAATATGTTGAGGGAAGTTTTCCAAAATCGACTAATAAGTCTCAATGCTGAACATGAATTTCCACCGAGGTCATGTGATATTACGCCGTGTGATTTCTTTTTGTGGCCTTACCTTAAAAACACTATTTTTGAACTGCCTATTCCTGATTTAAACCATCTGCAGGCTCGACTTATAGACAAGATTCGTGAAATTAACAATACCCCGAGCATCTTAGAAAATGTCTTTAATTCTTTGAGGAACAGGTGTGAAAAGTGCTTGGAACAAGGAGGGGGACACTTTCAGCAGCTGCTTTAATTTATTGTTATAACAAGGAGGGGGACACTTTCCGCAGCTCCTTTAATTGTTTGTTATTGTTATCACGATTATTCTTTAAAATAAAGTTATATAGTCATTAACGTTATTGAAACTGACAGCTGCTATACAGCTCGTTGAGAAATGAGGTTAAGTTGGTCGCTATAAGCTACTCCCTACGTCCAATGTGTCAGAACCAACTTCGACCACGTTTTTATTTGAACGCTCGTTATTTTAATTTTATAAACTTTGTCAACCACACCTATAAAACGAAGTCATAAAATGACATACTTTAATTAAACAATATATTTATTTATCTCGACACCGTTTTCAAGGGATGTTTATATGAATTTACATACGTGCTTCCTCTGTGAATTCTCGACTTAACACAACGATTTCCTGAAAATTTCTGCTCGGGATGATGTTAAATAAATCTGTGGATAATACCAACAATTCAACCAAAATGTTCTAGTCCTTGTTATAATATTCAGCTATCCGTGAACCATGGAACTCGTCCTTCCTTGCAGGCTACGACATCTTGACTTCCATTTGCGATGATTCTTTATTCGAGCCTCAAAAGGATATGAATTCGGGAGTCGATCTGTAAAGAGTATTCATAAGTATGTCACATTAAATGACCCTACCCTTTTATTTGTTACGCCCG